CTCACCAGCAGGAGGCGCTCGTAAGATCTCAGTCTCACCAGCAGGAGGCGCTCATAAGATCTCGGTCTCACCAGCAGGAGGCGCTCATAAGATCTCAGTCTCACCAGCTCATAGCAGGAGGCGCTCATAAGATCTCAGTCTCACCAGCAGGAGGCGCTCATAAGATCTCGGTCTCACCAGCAGGAGGCGCTCATAAGATCTCGGTCTCACCAGCAGGATGCGCTCATAAGATCTCGGTCTCACCAGCAGGAGGCGCTCATAAGATCTCGGTCTCACCAGCAGGAGGCGCTCATAAGATCTCGGTCTCACCAGCAGGAGGCGCTCATAAGATCTCAGTCTCACCAGCAGGAGGCGCTCATAAGATCTCGGTCTCACCAGCAGGAGGCGCTCGTAAGATCTCAGTCTCACCAGCAGGAGGCGCTCATAAGATCTCGGTCTCACCAGCAGGAGGCGCTCATAAGATCTCAGTCTCACCAGCAGGAGGCGCTCATAAGATCTCGGTCTCACCAGCAGGAGGCGCTCATAAGATCTCGGTCTCACCAGCAGGAGGCGCTCATAAGATCTCGGTCTCACCAGCAGGAGGCGCTCATAAGATCTCGGTCTCACCAGCAGGATGCGCTCATAAGATCTCGGTCTCACCAGCAGGAGGCGCTCATAAGATCTCGGTCTCACCAGCAGGAGGCACTCATAAGATCTCAGTCTCACCAGCAGGAGGCACTCATAAGATCTCAGTCTCACGATCAGGAGGCACTCATAAGATCTCAGTCTCACCAGCAGGAGGCACTCATAAGATCTCAGTCTCACCATCAGGAGGCACTCATAAGATCTCGGTCTCACCAGCAGGAGGCGCTCATAAGATCTCGGTCTCACCAGCAGGAGGCGCTCATAAGATCTCGTTCTCACCAGCAGGAGGCGCTCGTAAGATCTCGGTCTCACCAGCAGGAGGCGCTCATAAGATCTCAGTCTCACCAGCAGGAGGCGCTCATAAGATCTCAGTCTCACCAGCAGGAGGCGCTCATAAGATCTCGGTCTCACCAGCAGGAGGCGCTCATAAGATCTCGGTCTCACCAGCAGGAGGCGCTCATAAGATCTCAGTCTCACCAGCAGGAGGCGCTCATAAGATCTCGGTCTCACCAGCAGGAGGCGCTCATAAGATCTCAGTCTCACCAGCAGGATGCGCTCATAAGATCTCAGTCTCACCAGCAGGAGGCGCTCATAAGATCTCAGTCTCACCAGCAGGAGGCGCTCATAAGATCTCAGTCTCACCAGCAGGAGGCGCTCATAAGATCTCGGTCTCACCAGCAGGAGGCGCTCATAAGATCTCGGTCTCACCAGCAGGAGGCGCTCATAAGATCTCGGTCTCACCAGCAGGAGGCGCTCATAAGATCTCAGTCTCACCAGCAGGAGGCGCTCATAAGATCTCGGTCTCACCAGCAGGAGGCGCTCATAAG